GTTTCTTCTTCCGCCACTGCAAACGACGATATAAAACCCATGCACATGCCACCTCTTCTTCATCCATTACCAGCTGTGTATGGTCATCGACTTAAGAGGGATAAAAAAAAAAATAATAAAATAAAAAATTAAATCGCTCGTCTGAACAGGGCCTTACCCCTGTCCTCTGCCTATTTTTTCTCTCAATCCTCCCTATCCCCTTCTCTTCTTTTCCTTCCTCCTCTTTCTACCTTTCTTTCTTCCTCTTCTTCCTCCCTTTCCTCTCACCCCCCTCCTGGCGCAGCGGTAAGGTGCTGGTCTAGCAATCTTGCGGACCTGCGTTCAATCCCACGCCCGGCCAGTGATTGGTCACCCCGGCCATTCCTTGCACACAGGGGAAGATTTGAGCAAAATAAAACAGACTTACAGTAAGTCACAGCAAAGAATATCCATTGTAACAAATGGAATTAAAACTAAAAATTAAAAACTAAATCCCACCCCATCCTCACTCAACCTCCCATCCCTACTCCCTCCTCTTCCCTCCCCCATCCCCACTCCCTCCCTTCCCCTCCCCTCCCCCTCCTCCTCCCTCTCCATCCCCACCAGCCCCTGGTGGGGATGGGGAGGGGGAGGGAGAGGAGAGAGGAGGGAAGGAAGAAGAGGAGGGAGAGAGGGAGGGGAGTGTCGAAATGAGTTAGAGAGAGGGGGATAGGGGGAGGGAGAATGGGAGGAGCAAACTAAAAAAATAATGGGGAGGAGAATGTGGGGGAAGGGATGTGGAGCTCCTCATGAGCTGAAGAGGACGGGAGGAGGGGAGAGGGTGTGGTGAAGTAAACACGGGGAGTAGGAGTGGGGGAGGGGAGAAGGTGAGACCATCGTCATGAGTTGGATATATATATATATATATATATATATATATATATATATATATATATATATATATATATATATATATATATATATATATATATATATATATATATATATGTATATATATATATATATATATATATATATATATATATATATATATATATATATATAATATATATATATATATATATATATATATATATATATATATATATATATAGAGAGGAGAGAGAGAGAGAGAGAGAGAGAGAGAGAGAGAGAGAGAGAGAGAGAGAGAGAGAGAGAGAGAGAGAGAGAGACAGACAGACAGACAGACAGACAGACAGACAGACAGAAAGGTAAAAGGAGTAACCAGTTAAGAAGCAAGGATAAAGCAAGAATTCATGATCATACATGTCGCAGCAAAATTCGTTATTTGGTAGCAGAGACGTCAAAAAAGACAATTTACCAAAACGTTTTTGCAGAACACCTGCGAAAAAAAAGCTTTGTATGTAATATATTCATGAAATGTTTCACACAACTGAATATGCTGTTTTTCTAGTCTGTTATTCATGTGAATACAAACGCATATTGACAGTGCAGGAGGGAATACATTTCTGTAAAACATATATATTTATTTACTGGATTTAGATTATTTTAATCAATACTGAAATTCATCAATTGATCATTCATTTATTCCTTTGTGTTTGTAGAATGTATCTGAAGCCTCACCACCGTCCCACCCAGTGTTAAGCGGAACCTGTTACTCCGTGCAGATGAATGCGATGCGTGCGACGTCAGCCACTCCTTTGCCACTTGAGATGTCGTTCCAGAGGGAGGGTTTCCGTCTTTGAGCGGCGGGAGAGGTAGACAAGGGCGGAGGGAAAATTGGGAAGGACGAAGGAAGGGAGAAAGAGAGAAGGGGAGGAAATAGGGTGGAAAGAGTGAGGGAGGGAAAGGGTAGGCAAAGGAGGAGTGAGAAAGAGAGGGGCAAAGGGAGTAACGGAGGGAAAGAGAGAGATTTTGTCCCTAACTTGCTCTTCTCTCAACCTTGCAGATACGCCTGATGAGATGACCGCTCCGTCGACGCTCCTGCGAGTGGCTTCCTCCTGTGAGTGACTCGCGGAAGGCTGACCGATCTCCTCTGCCTCCGAGGTCCTTTTTTGCCGAGTCGCGCGGGATCGAAGGGGTCGCACGGGGTTCCGCGGCTTGAGAGTGCCTCGTCGTGCGCATGGCATGCCCACCTGGCCCGCGTCCCTCCGCCTGCTGAGTTTGCACTTCGCCCCGACGTCGATCACCCATGCTGGAGGAGCCAAGCGTCAGCCTCGAGGAGGAAGCCCTGCTGGGGGACGCGGTGACGGCGGCGAGGGGCGAAAAGGCCGACGATGACATCGTGGGCATCTCGTGCCGAGAGCCCGGGCCGTGCCCATACCCCGGCCCCGTGGCGCAGCACAGTGATATGGCCTCGGAGGTTGTCACGATCGACCGCCTGAGCAAGATGCTGCTGGACCCCGCCTTCGTGACCACCATTAACGAGTCGAGCAGCTCGCTGTTCAACTTCTCCATCCACGACGCCTACCAGATCATCTCGGACAGCCAGGAGGGCTACCTCGACGGCACCACCAAGATCGTGTTCATCGTGTTCTACGTCATCCTGATCGTGTTCGGCGTGACCGGCAACCTGATGGTGGGCTGGGTCATCTGGCGCAAGCGGGCCATGCGCACGCCCAGGAACCTGTACATTATCAACCTGACGGTGTCCGACCTGAGCATGTGCCTCGTGTGCATGCCCTTCACGCTCGTCGGCCTCCTCTACAAGAACTGGAACATGGGCAGCGTCATCTGCAAGCTCGTCCCCGTGCTGCAGGGCACCAACATCATGGTGTCGCCAGCCACCGTGGTCGCCATCGCCGTCGACCGCTACGCCACCATCGTGCAGGTCGGCAGGTCGAGCCGGAGCAGGTTCCACGTGGTGGCGTCCATCGCCGTGATCTGGACGGCGTCCGTGCTGTTCACGCTGCCGCTCTACTTCTACTACGTGGTGGAGGAGGTGAAGCTGCACCACATCCTGCTGTTCTCGCGCTGCCTCGACGTGTGGCCGTCGCGCGGCGTCAAGAACGTGTGGATCATCGCGCTGCTCCTCACGCAGTACGGCATCCCCATCATGGTGCTCAGCGTCGTGCACGCGCGCATCAAGCGCTACCTGGGCCAGCACATGATGGGCCAGTACGACGCCCGCCGCGCGCAGAAGGAGATCGAGCGCAACAACAAGACCACCATCCTGCTGTCCACCATCGCCGTGGCCTTCGCCGTGAGCTGGCTGCCGTGGAACATCGTGAACCTGCTGGCGGACTTCGAGTACAAGGGCTTCAGCGACCCGACCTACCTCTACACCGTGTTCGGCGCCTGCCACATGATCGCCATGAGCTCGGCCTGCATCAACCCCGTCCTCTACGGCTGGCTCAACACGAACCTCCGGCGGGAGCTGCTCGAGGTCCTGCCGCCCTTCCTCGTCAAGCTGGGCTGGATCCTGCCCAAGTCCTGGCGGAGAAGAGAGGGCGACTCCCCGACGCGCCCCCCGGAGAGCGTCACGCTGCTGGTGTTCCAGGCCAACCAGACCAACAGCATCCAGACGGTGGCGCACCCGCCCCAGACCACCACCATCATCATCAAGGAGGACATGTAGCCAGGTCAGCGCCGCTCGAGGCTCTTCGTTTCCCACTTTGCTCATTCTTGTGCAAGAGATGTAAATGAATATTAATGCCCACTTCCACTAAAACAGCCCTTATTCTTACAATTGAATAGGATAGTACGTTTGAGTAATATTCAATGCCTCAATAAGCAGACACGACTGACAAAACATGAAAAAAATAATGCATACTATTAGATTAAGAACAGTCATAAAAATTCATATCACCATCATCACCATTCTCATCCTCAACATCCTTATCATCATCATTATCCTAACTGTCACGAATATCATCAGTCATCATAATTTTAATCGGATCATTCCCATCATTTATCAGCATCCGCCATTCTCTTTATTCGTATCATTATAATCACCATCATCGTTATTATAATTCCAACATTTATCACCATCACCAGTATTGTTGCCTTTATCATCAACCTTAACATTGTCACCTTCAATACAATTAAGCCCATAATTGTTTTTGTCGCCCCTCGCCCAAAGCAGTTCATTCATTGTGTTCGCGGTTCGTTGTCATGGAAACGCCAAGCGACGCCAGGGAGAGGCAAGGCGAAAAACACGTGCTGAAATGTCACTAAAAGAAAAATTAGAATGGTGAAATTTGATGAATAAAGAATCGAGAAAAAAGGAAAAGAAATATAGAAAATGCAAGATAGATAGATAGACACAGCCCAACAGACAGACAAATAGACAGACACATATACAGACAAATAGATAGACACATACAGACAAATAGACAGACGCATACAGACAAATAGACAGACACATTTACAGACAAACAAACAGACATAGAGACAAACAGACAAATAGACAGAAAGACAAATAGATAGATAGAGACGGTTTGGTAGATAGACAGACATCAGACATACCGACACACAGACAGATTGATAGACACCCACACACATACAGACAGGACGGTAGATTTAATCCCCAAATATATCATCCACCTCCGTTTCTTGCCCTTCGTCCAACGAAGCGGAATAATTAGGTTCATAATTAATAGGCTTAACCGCATTTTGCGTAGAAATAAGGTGGAGGTTGACGTCGAGGCGGCGGGGAGAGGCGCCCGGGCTGGAAGTAGATTGCTTTATGCAAATTGAATATCATTTTACAGAAGAGTTGGATGTTTATGTGGTTTTGATGGATGCTCTACCACTGAGCTACATTCCTTTTCGTGTCACTCAGTGGTAGAGCGTTCATCTTGCAGTTGCCTGCCTGCAACGACGAGTGTTCGAATCTCGATTATATTTATATAATTTATCTAGATTATACTCGTATTCGTATTCATCATTTTGTCTATATCTGTATATATCTATCTAGCTAACATTCTATCCCTCTGTATCTGTCTATCTGTCTGTCAATCTATCTGTCTACCTATCCAAATATCTATTTATTTGCCTATCTCTCTATCGATATATTTATCAATCGATGTATCTATTAGTCTATCAGTCAATCAGTGACT